TATATATATATATATATATATATATATATATATATATATGTAATACTAACTTGGCCACTAGTTCTTATAAGATGGTTAAAGAAAAAAGTCCCCCTGAGCATCTCAGCCAATCTGAATGGTAGATGGAGTGAATTCAGAATTATATTCAAGTACAGGTGCCCTTACCAGACTTGCTACAGAATTATTTTGTACTTTTAAGACTTTGTATGCTATTTAAGCAAAGTAAACAACATATAGATTTTTCAGTGATCCATGAAAATATCCACCTTAACAGGTAAATATTGGGAAGATGGATTCACCCATTGAAAAGTGGAACCTAATAATTGGCAACTTGGCTTTAAAGCAGGTAAGTGGCACACAGTTGTTTACAGATCTTGTGTTTACTGGTCTTGGGGTCACCTCTGGAATGGAGTCAACTGTAGTGCTGGGAAGTCTATCATTTTTGACTTTTTTCAAGGTACTAAATCACTTAGTACCTTGAAATCATTTAGTACCTTGAAAAAATAATGGAATTAGTGGACACCTCTGACCTCCAGGAGTCATTTTTTTCTCTAGAAACTAATCAGATGCTTACAAATATAAAAGATAGATATATAAATATTTTCTTTCATAACTATGTGATAAAGCCAGAATTTGTGTTGATATCTTACAAATAAATATTGAACATTTCATTTTTTAGGTGCTATTTTTCTACTTTAATTGTTTTTACCCTTGAGACAGACTCACTGTGTTGCTCAGGCTGGTATCAAACTCCTAGGCTCAAGTGATCTTCCTGCATCAGCCGCTCCAGTAGGCAGGACTACTGGTATGCGCCACCATGCTCAGCCTACTTTAATTTTTCAAAGTGTTTGTTTAATGAAACTGAGTTCTGTATATTATGGTCAGCCATTTGTCTTGACTTTTCCTCAATTTGATGTTACTAGTGTTGATATAAATGAATGCGTTCAGTTGCCAATGATATAAACACTAAACTGGATTCTATGAAATCTATGGCTTTCAGGTCTCAGGTGAGTACCTCTACTGCCTTCCCCCCATCCCTCCCATCTCTGAGGCAGAAGACTGCAGCTACCTGTGGTAATTCTCTACCTAGGGTTAGTTGAGGGGATGCACAGGAACTTTAATGAGGTGGTGGAGAATTTGGTTACAGGAATATGGTTTTATGTAGTGTATTTTAAAGACAAAGGAGTTTTTGGATTGTGGTTATTTTAAAAAAATACCTGTGTAATTGCAGGGTTGGAGATAAAATCTGGGATCTTAACCTCAGCTCTAACATTAACCAGCTGTATAACCTTTGTTACTTAGCCCTTCTGGGCTTCCTTTTTGTCTTTCAAATCACAGTATTATATTAGAGAAGGCTAAAATCCTTCTAAACTTGAACTTGTTATCTGTGCAGGGGTGATAATAAAAATATTTAATACCATATTCAAATATCTAAAATATTAATGTATTTGAAAATAGATTTGATTTTCTTCTTTAAATACCCTAAACTCATATGAAATAATGAGTTGTATTATATATCAAATCATTTTAGTATAATGGCCATCTCAGCATTATTTATTTGTTTTGTTTATTTCAGTACTGGGGATGAAATCCAGGGCCTCGCACACGCTAGGCAAGTGCCCTATCACTTAGCTAAATCCCCAGCTGTTTTTCCATTTTGAGATAAGATCTTATTAAATTTCCCAAAATGGTCTCAAAGTCGTGATCCTGCGGGGGCTGCAGTAGCTGGGGCTGCAGGGCTGCCCACAGCAGCGGGTGCCATCTCAGCTTTAATTTTCATTCTGTTCGTAATGCACACCTTTCCCTTGTCATCCTTGATCCCTGCAACCTCTGGTCAGGATGGGTGCTGGCAATGGCTGGGGATTTGCTGATCCTAGTTGCCAGAACCCAAAGCCCGTGTCTGCCTCACTCCGTCATCCATGTATGAAGAACAGGAACAGCAGCATGCCCACCAGGACAGCATCGGGGCCAGCTGGGGAGGCACTAGTTGCTTGGGACTCAGTTCCAGTGGACAAAGGCTAAGACGACAGGCTGCTGAGTGTGGTCACACCTGTAGTTCCAGCAAAGCTGGAGGCTGAGGCAGGAGGATCCCAAGTTCAAGGCTAGCCTCACTCAGCAACTTAACAAGACTCTATCTCAAAAAAAAAAAAAAAAAAAAAAAAGGCTGGGAATGTGGTTAAGGTGGTAAAGCATCCTTGGGTTCAACTCCCTAATACCTCCCACCAAAAAGAGGTGTGGGTGGGGTTGGGGAAAAGGCTTCACCTGCAAAAGCCTGTGAAGGAGAAGCTGAGCGTGGAGAGGGGTGCAGGGTGGCTGGCCTGTGCTCCCCTTCCTGGAGGTGGGCTTTGGAGGACAGAGGAGGGAAGAGACAGGAGGCCCAGGCGCCCTTAGGAGGGAGTGTGCTTCTCTGCTATTAAATTGGGTCCCAGCAGATTACCTGCTACAGGTTTCTTCACCACTGTGCAGAACAGCTGCGTGGACTGTGCATAAGTTGCAAAGCCCCCGGTACCATCTGAGGAACCACCGGCTCGCCAGGAGGAATGTAGCCTGCACCAAGGTCTATTCAGGCCTGTGGCCCCTGTTTAGCCTCCATACCCTGAGACCCTTCTAAACCCAGCTACCACTTGAACCCAGGCTTTGCTTTTTCTTGGGCACATTAATCATTTTCCAATTAGTCGTTCTTTTGCAGATGTACAGAATAGGACTTCTCAGCTCAGCTATGTGCCTCCAGTTCCTCAGAAATAGATCTACGGATGCATGTACGTGCCTAGACTCACATACCATGATGTCTGCACCAGGCTCCCTTGCCATGCGTACCAGGTCATGCCAGGAAGGACTTGGAGTCACAGTGCTGGAATTTACATTAGTACTTAGTTCTACTGCGCGAAGTGTGTGTGTTATTTATTAACCAGCATGAACATGCTGACATGTCTAATGACTGTGCAGCCCCAGTGGCTCTCATACCTGGAGGTCAGCTCTGAGGTGTGGGTGATGTCAACAGGAACTGTAATCAAAGCTTGTGGGGCTGGACGGCAGGATATCTAGGCTCTTTAGTCCTGGCCTTTCTGTTGATTTTCTGTACAATGGGGTCATCCTGCAGCAGGGATCGATCACTTGGAACCCTTGACCCCATTTCATGGATTGGCTTTAGAGAACACCCAGATATTCCACTCCAGATGTTGAATGTTCTGTGTTTTCTTAGGGGAAAGGTCTCTGTTCTACAGAATTTTTACCAGGTTGTCAGAGGGGCCATGACACACACACAGTTAGGAACCACTGGGAAAAGTGATTCCCGTGGGCTTTGCTGTAGCTTTGTCATTCTGGTGGCCTGAGTCGGCCGTCTGCATGCCTTTTCTTAGTGGAAGTTATTTTGAGTGTTGCTTTGTGTCTGCACTACGGAAACTATTTATGTAACTTGAATCTCAAAGTTTTATATTATCATTGTCATTTACAGAGTAGGGAACTCAAACATTTTTGGGGGCGGGGATCAGGGATTGAACCCAGGGGTGCTTAACCACTGAGCCACATCCTCGGCCCGTTTTTTTTTTTTTTTTTTAATTTAATTTAGAAGACTGGGCCTCACTAAGGTGCTTAGGGCCTCCCTAAGTTACTGAGGCTGGCTTTGAACCTGCAATCCTCCTTCAGGCTCCTGAGCAGCTGGGATTACAGGCATGCACCATCATGTGCAGCTGGAACTCAAGCTTATATGGTACTAATCACAAGTGTGATTATTTGAGAGGATATTTTTTAACATCTGTTTCCCACTGAGACAGGGAGTCCATTTTGACCATGGTCCTGTCTCAGTATCAAGCACAGTGCTTTGTGCTTGGTAGAATCTGAATAAATACCAGTTGAGTTAATGGACTTAGATAACTTGCCCTGAGGTTAAGTGGTAGAGAAGGATTCAAGCTCCTATCATTTGATTTTAATCTCCCCAGCACTGCCTGGTGAGCCTGCTTCCCACCTTGGGTGGGGCCCTCTTTAACCTAAAACTAGTGTTTTCTTAGATGATCTGTGGATCAGTCCTTTGGGGTACTATTAAAAACAGATTCCTGCACCCCATTCCATTTCTGCTGCCACCAGATCAGGGCAGTTTGAGAGCCCACTCTCTGGGAATATGAAACTCAAATATAGTAGCTTCTTTAAAAGGCAGTACGACTCAGTTACCAGGGGCAGTATGTCTTCAGGCTTCTTGTATGTAATGTTTAAATAGGAAAGATTCTGAGAGTTTTTTAAATTACTAATTCAGTTGGATTTTGTAACAAATTTTTTAGGTTCAGGCAACAGTCGTGGGTTTTTTAGCAGCGGTGGCAGCGATCATCTTGGGCTGGATTCCAGAGGGAAAGTATTACCTGGATCATTCCATCCTCCTGTGCTCCAGCAGCGTGGCCACCGCCTTCATCGCATCTCTTCTGCAGGGTGAGCGGATTTGCAAATGTCTGTAATCTTTTGCTCTTAAATGATTTATTTCTCAAGATGATGACTCTCTCTCTTCAAATGATATTTATGATGAAAACAACAGAAAAAGTTATCACAAGCTTCAATCATATCTTATTTCAGATATATTTCTGTTTCATTATTTATGAACCTTACTGCAGAGCAGGCTGTTCGAGGCTGTGTCCTGGCCTTTGATGCCCTGGTATAATTCCCAAATAAGATCAGGAAAATAGCCTGAGCATTCATTTGTTTTGTAAATGAAGTTGAGAAACTTCCTGGAAGTCATGCAGGGGATTTACTGGCTTGTCTCTTGAGTAACAAGTGTTCCAGGAATTCTGAGTTTCAAAAGCAGTCCCTCTGTTAAAAAAAATATTTTAAGTTTCATATTAAAAAAAAAATTCCTGTCTGTGGTAGTACAAAAATAACCTTATTCTGAAGATAGCATATTATTGGCTATAGATGGTTAAAGAACTAGTTAAAAAAAACTAACTGCATTAGAACTTCTCAGTTGGATTTTTTTTTATTAATGTGAACTTTCCGCTTGATAACTAGCTTCTTATGGAATAGTATTCAGGGATATAATTTTCTTATTTCTATATGGAATTACTAGAAATGATTGAGATGAAGCTATTGGGAAATTAAATTTCTGGCAAAAGAAAAAAAGGTTGCGGTGTTAGCACTCTCTTTAGGCTCCTTAACTTTTGTTTTCTTTCTGATTTTGTGTCATTTAGAGAGGTTTGAAATTTTTCAGTCCAGCAAGTGTTTGAAATGCCTAGGATTTTCAAAACCATCAAAAATTCAAATTTAAAACAACTGTACATTTGGTTAAAGCTTCTTACCTTGAACACTGTATCTTCTAGTTTTACTTGACCTTTTTGACCATCTTAATATATGCAGATACCATTAACCACATTTTGTATGTGAGAAAATTGACTCAGGCAGGTGGGGCAACTTGTCCAATTATATCCACTTGTTAGTGGCAGAATCAGAATGAAAACCCAACTTTCCTGGCTTTCAGCTCTTTGCACTGAGCCATGATGCACAAAAAATGCTTTAATTTCAGCTGAAAAGATAAAAGTAGCACTGTCATAGGAGAGCTTCCCATGTGTTGATTGTGGAAAAAAGATTTCTATGTAATCATATCTTGTTGGATTATTATTGTTTTGCAGCACTGGGGATTGAACCCAGGGCCTCACACATGCTAGGCAAGTGCTCTTTGGCTGAGCTACATCCCCAGCCCTTTTAAAAAATGTTTATTTTGAAACAAAGTCCAGCTAAGCTGCCCAGGCTGGCCTCAAATTTGCCAATCCTCCTGCCTCAGCCTCCTCAGTAGTTGGGGTACAGGTCTGTCTCACCACACCTCATTATATTTTGTAGGATTATCATATAACATATTCTAAAAGCATTTCTGCTATTGCTTTCTTCCCCCTTTACAGTGGTATTGTAAAAAGGGTAAGGTCCAGTGATTGAAAAAGTTTCCAGAATATAATTTACAATGCATTGTTTGATTTAAGACAAAAATTCTGCTCTTTAGAGTACTGACTTTATATATGGTACACTAAAAACCATTGGCCTAGAATCATAAGGTATGTGACTTCAGGCACGTATTGAAACCTGTTCTTGAGGACCTCAGTTTTATCTGTAATGAGTATTCTGGAATAAAAATATTTGCAGTCTTTTTATTCTAAAAGTGCAGTGAAATTGTTTATTTTTTATTTCTTTTTGGTGTTTGTGCACCCCTGAGTTCAATCCTTATCATTAAGCAACAGCCTGGCCCTTTTTATTATTTATTTTGAGACAGGGCCTCACTAAATTGCCAAGGCTGGCCTTGAACTTGTGATCCTCTTGCCTTAGCCTCCCAGTCTATGGGATTATGGGTGTGTGACTCTACACCCAGCTTCTGTTTTTTTCTCCCCAAAGCCATAGATTTCGAGTTGAAAATCTATGTGCTGTGGTTAGCACATAGACATTTAAAATTTTCTTTGTACCTCATCCTCTTAACGAATGTATTTCAATGAGAAAATCTGTACAACTGGGTATAGACATAAATGTTATCATTTTCCTCTTATGTATCTGATTCAAGAAAATAAGAATTCAAAAGTGCAAGTGCACAGTCACATTTTCATCCTCTGTTATCCTGTTGGAGAATTATAAACAAACTTTGGGTTTAAAGAATATCTTTTCCAAAGACTTTCTTGTGTTCTGGACTCTGGTGTTCAAGTTTAATTACTTCCTGCTTCTTAATACTTCAACACTAAAGAATATAACGAATCAAGCATTTCTAGCTACCATATGGGAACAAATCTGTTGGTCTTCTTCCCAGTTGCCTTGCATATGACTCACCTTTCTCTGGCATTTTCATACATTATTTGAGGGTTAAATTTAAAATCTTAGGTCTTTTGTGTGTATCAAATCCTAAGACACACACATTACTAAATTCAAAATTTTAGCTTTAACATAATTTCATGGTCACTTTTGGGTCTTTAAGTACAACATTGAACTTCTCAGATCTGTGAGCTCTGCTTGGATTTTGTTGAAAGGCATTTTGCCATGATATTGGGATAAAATGTTTTAATTGCTTAATCAGCTTATCCAAGCAGTCTCTCTGGAACTGAGATATTGTTTGTCTGTCTTGTATGTTTCAGTATTTGAGGGATTGATTTTCTTTAAATCATAACATCGAAAGTGATGAACATTCTTTCCTCTAGGAATAATAATGGTTGGAGTTATCGTTGGTTCAAAGAAGACTGGTATAAATCCTGATAATGTCGCTACACCCATTGCTGCCAGTTTTGGGGACCTTATAACTCTGGCCATATTAGCTTGGATAAGCCAGGGTTTGTACTCCTGCCTTGGTAAGTTGATTTGACACTAAATATATTATGTTATTGAGTATCTTTTAAAATAAATATTGTTGTAGCAATATTGTGACTCCATGGTGACCTTCATCTGTATTAGAACTAATCAGAATAACAGTTGTAATTTCTTGTACACCTACTATGTGCTGTGGCTCTCACATTTTTTTCTTTTCTTATAGATAAGAAAGATAAGGGTTATCTCTAAATTGAATGAGAAAATTGAGGGTCATAGAAGTTATATATGCTACCCATGTTTTCACAGCTCCAGGGAGAAAGGCTGAATGCAGGTCTGTCCTAGTCTATGGTTTCTGCAACCTTCAGAGTTCTGTGTACCGAGCTACCATCAAAGAATATAAGGTCATGGTAGGACTCAGAATTTACCAACAGGATGTTTTTTTTTCATCAGAAACTCACACCTTAAGTTAAAGACTCACGGTGGTTAACTCAAAGGAAAAAAAAACAAACATGAAAATTAGCCCAAATGCTGCGTGAAGCTGGAGTCCTCCTGTATGTGTAGTTCCTGTTGAATAGTGATGGAGAATTTAGTCTAGGGAATTATTTTAATGCAGATTTGTATTCTGGGACTGTTGTCAATGGTATTGGATATGATTTATGAGCACTGGTTAGATACTAAATATTAATCATGCTTTCATTTTTTAAATGCCAAATTAAAAACAGAAAAAGAGAACAAAAACCCACAGTAATACAAGAAAAAAATAGTTTACTAGCCAAGCAAAAAGCAAATACACACTCTCACATATTTACATGGTCCTATATGGATTTATGATGTGCTTTAAAATAAATCTAAAGTATACTTAGTTTTAAGAAGAGTCTTAGATATATGTTCTTGAATTTAAAAAAGGGCTTTGCCCTACCAAATGCGATAATTTTCTACAAGTTATGTTATCAAAGATACTAAATAACTTTAGGCAATTTTATACACTCAGTGAAGCTTCCCTGAGTGTATAAATTTGCCTTAAGTTATTTAATAAGTGGCATAAAAACAATATTCATTAGGCCTTGATTTATACGTTCAGGGACATTTTTTATAATTTAGAAGATAAAGATTTATCCACTTGAGGTAAAGTTTAAGACATAAATGACGAGTGACCTAAACCTGGGATCTTGTGGGGGCTATTCTGGCTTTTTATTGTTGTAGAGCACACAGGGGACGATATATGTGCAAGTGTATTCTGGGTGAGGCTCAGTTCCCTTTTCTTCCACTCAGAAGCAGAAAGTGAGATTTATGTTATCAAAGAGATCATCTTTTGTAGTTTATATTGTTGGTGGTCGACTGCTCATGCCTCTCTCCTCCTCTAGATGATTGTACAGTTTAGAAAGAGTCCATGCAGTTGGGCTTAAGGCGTCAGCTCCTGGCTGGAGAGCATGTTCTCTGGGAAGCCTGCGGCCACTCCCAGGAGGACAGCTACACATGAGTGACGCCCCTGGTGTCCCTTGCCTGTCTGTCCTCCTGAGTTGGAGACGATGAGAGAGGAAGAGCAGTAGAGAGGTGCAGAGCGTGTCTTCCCAGCGTCGAGGGTGGAAATTCTGGGTCTTAGTGGTTCCCAGGAAGGTGCACTGCTGCAGGCTTGGGGGTGTCACTGGGACACATTTCCAGCTGCTGGCTAAACACCAGGGTTTCTTATCAGTAGAAGGCGCAGTGATGAGAAGGTAAAAAGGAGAGTGCCATTGACGAATGTTGATACAGGAAACATGGCGACACAGAGGAGGTGCTGTGAGGTTCCAGAAGATAGACCAGTTGCTGAGCAAAATAACGCGCATTGACTTCTTAATTTATTTTTATTTTTATTTTTGGGTACTGGGCATAGAACTCGGGGGCACTTGACCACTGAGCCACATCCCCAGCCGTAGTTTGTATTTTATTTAGATACAAGGTGTCACTGAGTTGCTTAGTGCCTCACTTTTGCTGAGGCTGGCTTTGAACTCTGAATCCTCCTGCCTCAGCCTCCCAAACTGCTGGGATTACAGGCATGTGCCACCTCACCTGGCTTAATTTTTATTTTTAAAAGTTATCCAAGTGATAAACTCCTTATAGAAGGCTTAAGTTTAATGTATTATTATCTAAAGCTTTTGCTATTTTGGGTGTTATACAGTGTTGCATTAATAGTTTTAACTGGATCAAGGAATAAAAAGTAAAATGGAATGTTACCATAATTTTGAAAAATAGTCTTATTAACTATTGCTTAGGATTTTCTAGGCCTTTTCTTCTGACAGTTGACTCAAAATAATTCAAGTTGAATTAGGTCTTATACATTCATCTGCATTATTGATTTCCCACAAAGAGATTTTTAAAAAATGGGCTTCAAATTGATTCTGTAGCTAATTTAATGGTTAAAGGTGTTCCTGAAATAATATTGATTCCATCTACATTGTGAGCACTAGGGGGCCTCATAAGATCAGCAGTTGGAGGCCCTGTTTTTTTAATTCTGAATGCAAAGTTTAGGAAGGGGCATATTTAAATTCTAAGATCCTGTTCATCTTGCTGAAAAGTCTAGCTCTTAGGAACAGTTTTAATTCATGATCCATAATGAAAACACAAGATTTAAGAGATAAAAAGAAGATTTCTTTGTAGCTACAGGCTTTGGTTTTAGAGGCTGTATATAATACAGAATGAGACATTAAGAAAAGTGTCATGGGGTCAATTTACCAAGAATAATTTTGAATTTATATGCATCTAATATTGGAGCACCTAAAACACAAAGCAATTATTAGTAGGTCTGAAGGGAGAAGTAGATAACCATACAATAATCATAGAGGACTTTAATATCCCACTTTCAACAATGGGTAGATCATGCATACAAAACATTAACAGGGGAATGTTGAATTTGGACTACAGTTTAGTTCAGCGGCATCTAACAGACATGTACAAAATGTTCTATTCAAAAGTAGCAAGAAACACTTTTTTTTTTTTTTTTTTGAGAGAGAGAGAAAGAGAGAGAGAGAGAGAGAGAGAGAGAATCTTTTTTGTAGATGGACACAACACAATGCCTTTATTTTTTTTTTATGTGGTGCTGAGAATCGAACCCAGGTCCCAGGCATGCTAGATGAGCGCTCTACCACTGAGCCACAATCCCAGCCCATGACACACATTCTTAAGTGTATATGGAATGTTCTCTAGGATAGATAATATATTAAGTCACGAAACAAAACAAATTTAGGAAGACAAATTACATCAAGTGACTGAATGGCATGAAATGAGAAATCAACAACAGGAGGAAAATTGGAAACTTTATAAATATGTGTAAATTAAAATAACCAGTGGGTCAAAGAATAAAACAAAAGGGAAATTTAAAAAGACCTTGAGACAAATTAAAATGGAAATGCAATGTACCAAAACCTGTGAAATGCAGCAAAAGTAATTCTAAGAGGAAAGTTTATATTACACATCAAAAAACTAGAAAAGAACAGCTAAACCCAAGAAAATAATAAAGGTGATGGCAGAAATGAATAAAATAGGCAATTGAAGAGCTATAGAATAAATTGACAAACTGATAAGTTTTTTTAAATAAAATTGATAGAGACTTAGCTAGATTAAGCAGAGGGACCTCATATAAAGTCTGAAATAAAAGTGGAGACATTATAATGGATACCTCAGAAATAAAAGGAATCACAAGGGACTATTATGAACAAATATGCTCACAGATTAGATAGCTTAGAGGAAATGGATAAGTTCCTAGAAACATACCAACGTTGAATCAGGAAGAAATAGAAGGCCGGAACAGACCGATAACAAATAGACTGCAGCAGTAATTAAATGCCTCCTCCAAAAGAAAAACCCAGGACCAGATGGCTTCATAGCTGAATTCTACAAAGTATTGAAGGAATCAATGCCAGATTTCTTAATATTCCCCCAAAAAGACCATGTGGGAGGAGGAACTAGAGGGATTTTTTTCCAAACTCATGTAATGAGGCCAGTGTTACCCTAATACCAAAACCAGACACAAGAACGCTGTTGGCCAGCGGCTCTGATGATGAGCACACTTGCAGAAGCCCTCGATAAAATTCTAGCAAACAGGATCCAAACATGTATCAAAGATTGTGTGTCATGACCGAGTGGGATTTATTCCTGGGATGCAAGGTTGGTTTAACAGATGCACATCGGTCAGCATGACATACTGGGTAACAGAAGGAAAAGTAAAAACTACCGACCACCTTGATAGATGCTGGAAAAGTTATTGACAAAGTTTGACATCTTTTCTTTTTTATTTTTGCAGTACTGGGGACTGAACCCAGAGCCTTGTACATGTGAGGCAAGCACTCTACCAACTGAGCTATATCCCCAGCCCTCAATATCTTTTCTTGATAAGATGTTCAACAATTTAGGTGTAGAAGAAAATTTCTTCAATGAAGGCCATTTTTTAAAGTCCATAGCTAACATCATAATCAGTGGAGGAAAACAAAGTTTTTCTTTAAGATCTGGTACATGGCAAGTTTGCCCTGTTGCTTCTGTTCAACACAGTACTGGAGGTAGTAGGGATGTCATTTCTTTTTCTTGTCTGATTGCTTTTGATAGTACTTCCCATACTATGTTAAAATGTTCATACTAAGGGATAGGAAAAAGGGGAATTGGAGATAGAAATCAAACTCCTCACATGTATGATTTTGTCAGAATGAACCCAACTACAATGTATGATGAATAACATATGCTGTATATGATGTTATCAGAATATATATAAATGTAAAATAATTTATACTACCTCAAGCAACATGCAAGTTCCGTGTAATCCCTCTTAAAATTCTAATGCCATTCTTCACAGAAATAGAAAAGGCATCCTATAATTTATATGATACCACAAAAGACTGAGTAGCCAGCGAAATCTTGAGAGAGAAAAAATTGGAGGGTATCACACTCCCTGGTTTCAGTTATATCATAAGCCATAGCAATCAAAATGCTATAAAATAGACACATAGACCAATAGACCAGAATAGAGAGCCAAGAAGTAAACCCAGTGCATGCTGTCAGCAAGGACACCTAG